CACTGTCGCAAGTCTAGAGGAACACCATCTTCAGCACAGCAACTCGAGGAATGCTCCGTGTACCCCAAATCGTCTCGAGATGAGAGCTGATTCCCTGGCTTAGGCTCAAGACGTATGCCAACTTTCCAGAAGCACCTCAAGGGGAGGCTTCTCTCAGCAATGGGTATGTTGGAGGGACCCCCAGTTTGCTGCCTCAAGTGGAATATGCAGCGAGATGCCCTAACTTGAAAGGAGGCCGGGTTTCCTTGCAGTGTCTTGAATACAGGCTCGTCTTTCATATCACAACGGGAAGGAATGTCTGAATCCCCTGTGGAGACCTTAGCGAAAGCCCTAGGTCCCTGCCTCATTTTGACGGATTGCCTCACATCCCGTTGACACCTCGAGAGGCACCCGGAGTTCACTGCTTCAAATGTGACGATGCCTGACTCCTCCTGAACATTGATAGGAATCCCAAAATCACTGTGGCTACAGGAAAGGATTCTTGTGTGCCCTGCATCACCTCGAGAAGCATCCCTTTTGCCCTGCCAAGGCTCGAAAAGATTCCTGAGGTGTCCCTCATTACTAGACAGGAGTCATGACGTCACTGAATAAACACGTGTTTTCAAGGGCCAAGCCCGCCATAACTCGAGAACATACCCCACGTACCGCCGCGACTCGAGAAAAACCATGAGACTTCCCCTAGATGCGATATGAGGCCTGATTCCCTGCAGTCCATGCAGAGCATTCCCGTGATCCCAATCAAGCAAGTCAGCAGCTTCGAATTGCTTAATGGATCTCGAGAGAGTCCCCAGGAACACTGTCACAAGTCTAGACAGACCCTGACATCACCCCAGCAAAGCAAAGCAGGTCCAAGTACCCCACATCACCTCGAGTTGAGGCCCGATTCCCATGCATTGACTCCAGAGCCATCCCCCGTACCCCATTAAACACCACCAGTGGCTTGACTTCCTTCAGGCAACTCCAGAGATGCCCCGAGAACACTGTCCCAAGTCTAGAGGAATACGAACTTCAGCACAGCAACTCGAGGAATGCTCCGTGTACCCCAAATCGTTTCGAGGTGAGAGCTGATTCCATGGCTTAGGCTCAAGACGTATGCCAACTTTCCAGAAGCCCCTCAAGAGGAGGCTTCTCTCAGCAATAAGTATGTGGGAGGGACCCCGAATTTGCTGCCTCAAGTGGAATATACAGCGAGAAGCCCTAACTTGAAAGGATGCCGGATTTCCTTGCAGTGGCTTGAATACAGGCTCGTCTTTCATCTCACAGCATGAAGGGATGTCTGAATCCCCTGTGGAGACCTTAGAAAAGCTCTAGGTCCCTGCCTCGTTTTAACGGAATGCCTCACATCCCGTTGACACTTCGAGAGGCACGCGGAATTCACTGCTTCAAAAGGTGATGATGCCTGACTCGTCTTGAATATTGATAGGAATCCCAAAATCCCTGTGGCTATTTGAAAGGTTCCTTGGGTGTCCTGCCTCACCTCGAGAAGCGTCCCTTGTGCCTGCCAAGCCTCGAAGAGATTCCTGAGCTGTCCCTCGTTACTGGACAGGAGTCCTGACGTCACTGAATAAACAGGAGTTTTTAAGGGCCATCCCCGCTGTAACCCGAGTACATACCCCAGGTCCCCGCCGCAAGTCGAGAAAATCCATGAGACTTTCCCCTAGTGGCGAGATGAGGCCCGATTCTCCTGCAGTGCATGCAGAGCAATTCCGTGATCCCCATCAAACAAGTCAGGACCTTCGACTTGTTTAATGGATCTCGAGACAGTCCCCAAGAATACTGTCAAATGTCTAGACGGATCCTGAGGTCACCCCATCAACGCAAAGCAGCACCATGTGCCCCACATCAACTCGAGATAATGCCCGATTCCCCTGCATTGACTCCAGAGCCATCCCCCGTTCCACATTAAACACCACCAGTCGCTTGACTTCCTTCAGACAACTCCAGAGATGCCCTGAGAACACTGTCCCAAGTCTAGAGGAACACCATCTTCAGCACAGCAACTCGAGGAATGGTCCGTGTACCCCAAATCGTCTCGAGATGAGAGCTGATTCCCTGGCTTAGGCTCAAGACGTATGCCAACTTTCCAGAAGCACCTCAAGGGGAGGTTTCTCTCAGCAATAGGTATGTTGGAGGGACCCCCAGTTTGCTGCCTCAAGTGGAATATGCAGCGAGAAGCCCTAACTTGAAAGGAGGCCGGGTTTCCTTGCAGTGTCTTGAATACAGGCTCGTCTTTCATCTCACAACGGGAAGGAATGTCTGAATCCCCTGTGGAGACCTTAGCGAAAGCCCTAGGTCCCTGCCTCATTTTGACGGATTGCCTCACATCCCGTTGACACCTCGAGAGGCACACGGAGTTCACTGCTTCAAATGTGACGATGCCTGACTCCTCCTGAACATTGATAGGAATCCCAAAATCACTGTGGCTACAGGAAAGGGTTCTTGTGTGCCCTGCATCACCTCGAGAAGCATCCCTTTTGCCATGCCAAGGCTCGAAAAGATTCCTGAGGTGTCCCTCATTACTAGACAGGAGTCATGACGTCACTGAATAAACACGTGTTTTCAAGGGCCAAGCCCGCCATAACTCGAGAACATACCCCACGTACCGCCGCGACTCGAGAAAAACCAGGAGACTTCCCCTAGATGCGATATGAGGCCTGATTCCCTGCAGTCCATGCAGAGCATTCCCGTGATCCCAATCAAGCAAGTCAGCAGCTTCGAATTGCTTAATGGATCTCGAGAGAGTCCCCAGGAACACTGTCACAAGTCTAGACAGACCCTGACATCACCCCAGCAAAGCAAAGCAGGTCCAGGTACCCCACATCACCTCGAGTTGAGGCCCGATTCCCATGCATTGACTCCAGAGCCATCCCCCGTACCCCATTAAACACCACCAGTGGCTTGACTTCCTTCAGGCAACTCCAGAGATGCCCCGAGAACACTGTCCCAAGTCTAGAGGAATACGAACTTCAGCACAGCAACTCGAGGAATGCTCCGTGTACCCCAAATCGTTTCGAGGTGAGAGCTGATTCCATGGCTTAGGCTCAAGACGTATGCCAACTTTCCAGCAGCCCCTCAAGAGGAGGCTTCTCTCAGCAATAAGTATGTGGGAGGGACCCCGAATTTGCTGCCTCAAGTGGAATATACAGCGAGAAGCCCTAACTTGAAAGGATGCCGGATTTCCTTGCAGTGGCTTGAATACAGGCTCGTCTTTCATCTCACAGCATGAAGGGATGTCTGAATCCCCTGTGGAGACCTTAGAAAAGCTCTAGGTGCCTGCCTCGTTTTAACGGAATGCCTCACATCCCGTTGACACTTCGAGAGGCACGCGGAATTCACTGCTTCAAAAGGTGATGATGCCTGACTCGTCTTGAATATTGATAGGAATCCCAAAATCCCTGTGGCTATTTGAAAGGTTCCTTGGGTGTCCTGCCTCACCTCGAGAAGCGTCCCTTTTGCCTGCCAAGCCTCGAAGAGATTCCTGAGCTGTCCCTCGTTACTGGACAGGAGTCCTGACGTCACTGAATAAACAGGAGTTTTTAAGGGCCATCCCCGCTGTAACCCGAGTACATACCCCAGGTCCCCGCCGCAAGTCGAGAAAATCCATGAGACTTTAGCCTAGTGGCGAGATGAGGCCCGATTCTCCTGCAGTGCATGCAGAGCAATTCCGTGATCCCCATCAAACAAGTCAGGACCTTCGACTTGTTTAATGGATCTCGAGACAGTCCCCAAGAATACTGTCAAATGTCTAGACGGATCCTGAGGTCACCCCATCAACGCAAAGCAGCACCATGTGCCCCACATCAACTCGAGATAATGCCCGATTCCCCTGCATTGACTCCAGAGCCATCCCCCGTTCCACATTAAACACCACCAGTGGCTTGACTTCCTTCAGACAACTCCAGAGATGCCCTGAGAACACTTTCCCAAGTCTAGAGGAACACCAACTTCAGCACAGCAACTCGAGGAATGCTCCGTGTACCACAAATCGTCTCGAGATGAGAGCTGAATCGCTGGCTTAGGCTCAAGACGTATGCCAACTTTCCAGAAGCACCTCAAGAGGAGGCTTCTCTCAGCAATAGGTATGTTCGAGGGACCCCGAGTTTGCTGCTCAAGTGGAATATATAGCGAGAAGCCCTAAATTGAAAGGAGGCCGGATTTCCTTGCAGTGGCTTGAATACAGGCTCGTCTTTCATCTCACAGCATGAAGGGATGTCTGAATCCCCTGTGGAGACGTTAGAGAAAGCTCTAGGTCCCTGCCTCATTTTGACGGAATGCCTCATATCCCGTTGTCACCTCGAGAGGCAAGCGGAGTTCAGTGCTTCAAAATGTGACGATGCCTGACTCCTCTTGAATATTGATAGGAATCCCAAAATCCATGTGGCTATTGGAAAGGTTTCTTGGGTACCCTGCCTCACCTTGAGAAGCGTCCCTTGTGCACTGCCAAGCCTCGAAGAGATTCCTGAGCTGCCCCTCGTTACTGGACAGGAGTCCTGACGTCACTGAATAAACACGAGTTTTGAAGAGCCATCCCCGTCGTAACCCGAGTACATACCCCAGGTCCCCGCCGCAAGTCGAGAAAAACCATGAGACTTTCCCCTATAGGCGAGATGATTCCCGATTCTCCTGCAGTGCATGCAGAGCAATTCCGTGATCCCGATCAAACAAGTCAGGACCTTCGACTTGCTTAATGGATCTCGAGACAGTCCCCAAGAATACTGTCACATGTCTAGACGGATCCTGAGGTCACCCCATCAACGCAAAGCAGCACAATGTGCCCCAAATCAACTCGGGATGATGGCAGATTCCCCTGCATTGACCCTAGAGCCATCACCCGTTCCCCATTAAACACGACTAGTGGCTTGACTTCCTTTAGGCATCTCCAGAGATGCCCCGAGAACACTGTCCCAAGTCTAGAGGAACACCAACTTCAGCAAAGCAACTCGAGGAATGCGCCGTGTACCCCAAATCGTCTCGAGATGAGAGCTGATTCCCTGGCTTAGGTTCAAGACGTATGCCAACTTTCCAGAAGCACCTCAAGGGGAGCCTTCTCTCAGCAATAGGTATGTTGGAGGGACCTCCACTTTGCTGCCTCAAGTAGAATTTACAGCGAGAAGCCATAACTTGAAAGGAGGCCCGGTTTCCTTGCAGTGTCTTGAATACAGGCTCGTCTTTCATCTCACAACAGGAAGGGATGTCTGAATCCCCTGTGGAGACCTTAGAGAAAGCCCTAGGCCCCTGCCTCATTTTGACGGAATGTCTCACATCCCGTTGACACCTCGAGAGGCACACGGAGTTCACTGCTTCAAAATGTGACGATGCCTGACTCCTCCTGAACATTGATAGGAATCCCAAAATCACTGTAGCTACAGGACAGGGTTCTTGGGTGCCCTGCCTCACCTCGAGAAGCATCCCTTTTGCCCTGCCAAGCCTCGAAGAGATTCCTGAGGTGTCTCTCATTACTAGACAGGAGTCCTGACGTCACTGAATAAACACGTGTTTTGAAGGGCCATCCCCGCCGTAACTCGAGAACATACCCCAGTTCGCGCCGCAACTCGAGTAAAACCATGAGACTTCCCCTAGAGGCGAGATGAGGCCTGATTCCCTGCAGTCCATGAAGAGCATTCCCGTGATCCCCATCAAACAAGTCAGGAGCTTCGACTTGCTTAATGGATCTCCAGAGAGTCCCCAGGAACACTGTCACAAGTCTAGACAGACCCTGAGGTCACCCCAGCAATGCAAAGCAGCTGCAAGTACCCCACATCAACTCGAGATGAGGCCCGATTCCCATGCATTGACTCCAGAGCCATCCCCCGTACCCCATTAAACACAACCATTGGCTTGACTTCCTTCCGGCAACACCAGAGATGCCCCGAGAACACTGTCCCAAGTCTAGAGGAATACGAACTTCAGCACAGCAACTCGAGGAATGCTCCGTGTACCCCAAATCGTTTCGAGGTGAGAGCTGATTCCATGGCTTAGGCTCAAGACGTATGCCAACTTTCCAGAAACCCCTCAAGAGGAGGCTTCTCTCAGCAATAGGTATGTGGGAGGGACCCCGAGTTTGCTGCATCAAGTGGAATATACAGCCAGAAGCCCTAACTTGAAAGGAGGCCGGATTTCCTTGCAGTGGCTTGAATACAGGCTCGTCTTTCATCTCACAGCATGAAGGGGTGTCTGAAGCCCCTGTGTAGACCTTAGAGAAAGCTCTAGGTCCCTGCCTCATTTTGACGGAATGCCTCACATCCCATTGACACCTCGAGAGGCACGCGGAGTTCACTGCTTCAAAAGGTGATGATGCCTGACTCGTCTTGAATATTGATAGGAATCCCAAAATCACTGTGGCTACTGGAAATGGTCCTTGGGTGCCCTGCCTCTCCTCGAGAAGCATACCTTTTGACCTGCCAAGCCTCGAAGAGATTCCTGAGGTGTCCCTCGTTACTAGACAGGAGTCCTGACGGCACTGAATAAACACGGGTTTTGAGGGGCCATCCCCGCCGTAACTCGAGAAGATTCCCCAGGTCCCCCGCGCAACTTGAGAGAAACCGTGAGACTTCCCCCTACATGCGAGATGAGTCCTGATTCCCTGCAGTGCATGCAGAGTATTCCCGTGATCCCCAGCAAACAAGTCAGGAGTTTCGACTTGCTTAATTGAACTCGAGAAAGTCCCCAGGAACACTGTCACAAGTCTAGACAGACCCTGAGGTCACCCCAGCAATGCAAAGCAGCTGCAAGTACCCCACATCAACTCGAGATGAGGCCCGATTCCCATGCATTGACTCCAGAGCCATCCCCAGTTCCCCATTAAACAAGACCACTGGCTTGTCTTCCTTCAGACAACTCCAGAGATGCCCCGAGAACACTGAGCCAAGACTAGAGGAACACCAACTTCAGTACAGCAACTAGAGGAATGCCCCGTGTACCACAAATCGTCTCGAGATGAGAGCTGATTCCCTGCCTTAGGCTCAAGACGTATGCCAACTTTCCAGAAGCACCTCAAGAGGAGGCTTCTCTCAGCAATAGGTATGTTCGTGGGACCCCGAGTTTGCTGCCTAAAGTGGAATATACAGTGAGAAGCCCTAACTTGAATGGAGGCCGGATTTCCTTGCAGTGTCTTGAATACAGGCTCGTATTTCATCTCACAACAGGAAGGGATGTCTGAATCCCCTGTGGAGACCATAGAGAAAGCCCTAGGTCCCTGCCTCATTTTGACGGAATGCCTCACATCCCGTTGACACCACGAGAGGCACGCGGAGTTCACTGCTTCAAAAGGTGACGATGCCTGACTCCTCTTGAATATTGATACGAATCCCAAAATCCCTGTGGCTATTGGAAAGTTTCCTTGGGTGCCCTGCCTCATCTCGAGAAGCGTCCCTTGTGCCCCGGCAAACCTCGAAGAGATTCCTGCGCTGTCCCTCGTTACTGGAGAGGAGTCCTGACGTCAATGAATAAACACGTGTTTTGAAGGGCCATCGCAGCCCTAACTCGAGTATATACCCCAGGTCCCCGCCGCAACTCGAGAAAAACCATGAAACTTTCCCCTAGAGGCGAGATGAGCCCCGGTTCTCCTGCACTGCATGCAGAGCAATTCCGTGATCCCCATCCAACAAGTCAGGAGCTTCGACTTGCTTAATGGATCTCGAGACATTCCCCAAGAACACTGTCACATGTCTAGACGGACCCTGAGGTATCCCCAGCAACGCAAAGCAGCTCCATGTGCCCCAAATCAACATGAGATGAGGTCCGATTCCCCTCTATTGACTCCAGAGCCATCTGCTGTTCCGCATTAAACACCACCAGTGGCTTGACCTCCTTCAGACAACTCCAGAGATGCCCCGAGAACACTGTCCCTAGTCTAGAGGAACACCTACTTTAGCACAGCAACTCGAGGAATGCTTCCTGTATGCCAAATCCTCTCAAGATGAGAGCTGATTCCCTGGCTTAGGCTCAAGACGTATGCCAACTTTCCAGAAGCACTTCAAGAGGAGGCTTCTCTCAGCAATATGTATGTGGGAGGGAACCCGAGTGTGCTGCCTCAAATGGAATATACAGCGAGAAGCACTAACTAGAAAGGAGGCCGGTTTCCTAGCAGTGTCTTGAATTCAGGCTCGTCTTTCATCTCACAGCAGGAAGAGATGTCTGAATCCCCTGTGGAGACTTTAGAGAAAGCCCTAGGTCCCTGCCACATTTTGACGGAATGCCTCACATCCGGTTGACACCTCGAGAGTCACGCGGAGTTCACTGCTTCAAAAGCTGACGATGCCTGACTCCTCTAAAATATTGATAGGAATCACAAAATCCCTGTGGCTATTTGAAAGGTTCCTTGGGTGCCCTGCCTCACCTCGAGAAGCGTCCCTTGTGCCTGCCAAGCCTCGAAGAGATTCCTGAGCTGTCCCTCGTTACTGGACAGGAGTCCTGACGTCACTGAATAAACACAAGTTTTTAAGGGCCATCCCCGCCGTAACCCGAGTACATACCCCAGGTCCCCGTCGCAAGTCGAAAAAAACCATGAGACTTTCCCCTCGTGGCGAGATGAGGCCCGATTCTCCTGCAGTGCATGCAGAGCAATTCCGTGATCCCCATCAAACAAGTCAGGACCTTCGACTTGCTTAATGGATCTCGAGACAGTCCCCAAAAAAACTGTCACATGTCTAGACGGATCCTGCGGTCACCCCATCAACGCAAAGCAGCACCATGTGCCCCACATCAACTCGAGATAATGCCCGAATCCCCTGCATTGACTCAGAGCCATCCCACGTTCCACATTAAACACCACCAGTGGCTTGACTTCCTTCAGACAACTCCAGAGATGCCCTGAGAACACTGTCCCAAGTCTAGAGGAACACCATCTTCAGCACAGCAACTCGAGGAATGCTCCGTGTACCCCAAATCGTCTCGAGATGAGAGCTGATTCCCTGGCTTAGGCTCAAGACGTATGCCAACTTTCCAGAAGCACCTCAAGGGGAGGCTTCTCTCAGCAAAAGGTATGTTGGAGGGACCCCCAGTTTGCTGCCTCAAGTGGAATATGCAGCAAGAAGCCCTAACTTGAAAGGAGGCCGGGTTTCCTTGCAGTGTCTTGAATACAGGCTCGTCTTTCATCTCACAACTGGAAGGAATGTCTGAATCCCCTGTGGAGACCTTAGCGAAAGCCCTAGGTCCCTGCCTCATTTTGACGGATTGCCTCACATCCCGTTGACACCTCGGGAGGCACACGGAGTTCACTGCTTCAAATGTGACGATGCCTGACTCCTCCTGAACATTGATAGGAATCCCAAAATCACTGTGGCTACAGGAAAGGGTTCTTGTGTGCCCTGCCTCACCTCGAGAAGCATCCCTTTTGCCCTGCCAAGGCTCGAGGAGATTCCTGAGGTGTCCCTCATTACTAGACAGGAGTCATGACGTCACTGACTAAACACGTGTTTTCAAGGGCCATGCCCGCCATAACTCGATAACATACCCCAGGTCCCGACGCAACTCGAGAAAAACGATGAGGCTTCCCCTAGATGCGATATGAGGCTTGATTCCCTGCAGTACATGCAGAGCATTCCCGTGATCCCAATCAAGCAAGTCAGCAACTTCAAATTGCTTAATGGATCTCGAGAGAGTCCACAGGAACACTGTCACAAGTCTAGACAGACCGTGACATCACCCCAGCAACGCAAAGCAGCCCCAAGTACCCGACATCAACTCGAGTTGAGGCCCGATTCCCATGCATTGACTCCAGAGCTATCCCCCGTACACCATTAAAGCACAACCAGTGGATTGATTTCCTTAAGGCAACTCCAGAGATGCCCCGAGAACACTGTCCCAAGTCTAGAGGAATACGAACTTCAGCAAAGCAACTCGAGGAATGCTCCGTGTACCCCAAATCGTTTCGAGGTGAGAGCTGATTCAATGGCTAGGCTCAAGACGTATGCCAACTTTCCAGAAGCCCCTCAAGAGGAGGCTTCTCTCAGCAATAGGTATGTGGGAGGGACCCCGAGTTTGCTGCCTCAAGTGGAATATACAGCGAGAAGCCCTAACTTGAAAGGAGGCCGGATTTCCTTGCAGTGGCTTGAATACAGGCTCGTCTTTCATCTCACAGCATGAAGGGATGTCTGAATCCCCTGTGGAGACCTTAGAGAAAGCTCTAGGTACCTGCCTCATTTTGACGGAATGCCTCACATCCCGTTGACACTTCGAGAGGCACGCGGAGTTCACTGCTTCAAAAGGTGATGATGCCTCACTCGTCTTGAATATTGATAGGAATCCCAAAATCACTGTGGCTACTGGAAAGGGTCCTTGGGTGCCCTGCGTCACCTCGAGAAGCATACCTTTTGACCTGCCAAGCCTCGAAGAGATTCCTGAGGTGTCCCTCGTTACTAGACAGGAGTCCTGACGGCACTGAATAAACACGTGTTTTGAAGGGCCATCCCCGCCGTAACTCGAGAAGATACCCCATGTCCCCCGCAACTTGAGAGAAACCATGAGACTTCCCCCTAGATGCGAGATGAGTCCTGATTCCCTGCAGTGCATGCAGAGTATTCCCGTGATCCCCATAAAACAAGTCAGGTGCTTCGAATTGCTTAATGGATCTCGAGACAGTCCCCAAGAACACTGTCACAAGTCTAGACGGACCCTGAGGTCACCCCAGCAACGCAAAGCAGCTCCATGTGCCCCAAATCAACCCGAGATGTGGCCCGATTCCCCTGCATTGACTCCAGAGCCATCCCCAGTTCCCCATTAAACAAGACAACTGGCAAGACTTCCTTCATGCAACTCCAGAGATGCCCTGAGAACACTGTCCCAAGTCTAGAGGAACACCAACTTCAGCACAGCAACTCGAGGAATGCTCCGTGTACCACAAATCGTCTCGACATGAGAGCTGAATCCCTGGCTTAGGCTCAAGACGTATGCCAACTTTCCAGAAGCACCTCAAGAGGAGGATTCTCTCAGCAATAGGTATGTTGGAGGGACCCCGAGTTTGCTGCCTCAAGTGGAATATACAGCGAGAAGCCCTAACTTGAAAGGAGGCCGGATTTCCTTGCAGTGGCTTGAATACAGGCTCGTCTTTCATTTCACAGAATGAAGGGGTGTCTGAATCCCATGTGGAGGCCTTAGAGAAAGCTATAGGTCCCTACCTCATTTTGACGGAATGCCTCACATCCCGTTGTCACCTCCAGAGGCACGCGGAGTTCACTGCTTCAAAAGGTGACGATGCCTGACTCCTCTAAAATATTTATAGAAATCCCAAAATCCCTGTGGCTATTGGAAACGTTCCTTGGGTGCCCTGCCTCAAGTGGAGAAGCGTCCCTTGTGCCCTGCCAAGCCTCGATGAGATTCCTGAGCTGTCTCTCGTTACTGGACAGGAGTTCTGACGTCACTGAATAAACACGAGTTTTGAAGGCCATCCCCGCCGTAACCCGAGTACGTACCCCAGGTCCCCGCCGCAAGTCGAGAAAAACCATGAGACTTTCCCCTAGAGGCGAGATGAGGCCCGATTCTCCTGCAGTGCATGCAGAGCAATTCCGTGATCCCCATCAAACAAGTCAGAAGCTTCGACTTGCTTAATGGATCTCGAGACAGTCCCCAAGAACACTGTCACATGTCTAGACGGATCCTGAGGTCACCCCATCAAGGCAAAGCAGCACCATGTGCCCCACATCAACTCGAGATAATGCCCGATTCCCCTGCATTGACTACAGAGCCATCCCCCGTTCCACATTAAACACGACCAGTGGCTTGACTTCCTTCACGCAACTGCAGAGACGCCCTGAGAACACTGTCCCAAGTCTAGAGGAACACCATCTTCAGCACAGCAACTCGAGGAATGCTCCGTGTACCCCAAATCGTCTCGAGATGAGAGCTGATTCCCTGGCTTAGGCTCAAGACGTATGCCAACTTTCCAGAAGCACCTCAAGGGGAGCCTTCTCTCAGCAATAGGTATGTTGGAGGGACCCCCAGTTTGCTGCCTCAAAAGGAATATACAGCGAGAAGCCCTAACTTGAAAGGAGGCCGGATTTCCTTGCAGTGTCTTGAATACAGGCTCGTCTTTCATCTCACAACCGGAAGGAATATCTGAATCCTCTGTGGAGACCTTAGAGAAAGCGCTAGGTCCCTGCCTCATTTTGAAGGAATGTCTCACATCCCGTTGACACCTCGAGAGGCACACAGAGTTCACTGCTTCAAAATGTGATGATGCCTGACTCCTCTTGAACATTGATAGGAATCCCAAAATCACTTTAGCTACAGGACAGGGTTCTTGGGTGCCCTGCCTCACCTCGAGAAGCATCCCTTTGCCTGCCAAGCCTCGAAGAGATTCCTGAGGTGTCTCTCGTTACTAGACAGGAGTCCTGACGTCACTGAATAAACACGTGTTTTGAAGGGCCATCCCCGCCGTAACTCGAGAACATACCCCAGGTCCCGCCGCAACTCGAGAAAAACCATGAGACTTCCCCTAGATGCGAGATGACGTCTGATTCCCTGCAGTCCATGAAGAGCAGTCCCGTGATCCCCATCAAGCAAGTCAGGAGCTTCGACTTGCTTAATGGATCTCCAGAGAGTCCCCAGGAACACTGTCACAAGTCTAGACAGACCCTGAGGTCACCCCAGCAATGCAAAGCAGCTCCAAGTGCCCCACATCAACCCGAGATGAGGCCCGATTCTCCGGTATTGACTCAAGAGCCATCCCCCGTACCCCATTAAACACCAACACTGGCTTGACTTCATTCAGGCAACTCAAGAGATGCCCCAAGAACACTGTTCCAAGTCTAGAGGAACACCAACTTCAGCACAGCAACTCGAGGAATGATCCGTGTACCCCAAATCGTTCCGAGGTGAGAGCTGATTCCCTGGCTTAGGCTCAAGACGTATGCCAACTTTCCAGAAGCACCTCAAGAGGAGGCTTCTCTCAGCAATAGGTATGTGGGAGGGAACCCGAGTTTGCTGCCTCAAATGGAATATACAGCGAGAAGCACTAACTAGAATGGAGTCCGGTTTCCTAGCAGTGTCTTGAATACAGGCTCATCTTTCATCTCACAGCAGGAAGAGATGTCTGAATCCCCTGTGGAGACCTTAGAGAAAGCCCTAGGTCCCTGCCTCATTTTGACGGAATGCCTCACATCCCGTTGACACCTCGAGAGTCACGCGGAGTTCACTGCTTCAAAAGCTGACGATGCCTGACTCATCTTGAATATTGATAGGAATCACAAAATCCCTGTGGCTATTTGAAAGGTTCCTTGGGTGCCCTGCCTCAACTCGAGAAGCGTCCCTTGTGCCTGCCAAGCCTCGAAGAGATTCCTGAGCTGTCCCTCGTTACTGGACAGGAGTCCTGACGTCACTGAATAAACACGAGTTTTTAAGGGCCATCCCCGCCGTAACCCGAGTACATACCCCAGGTCCCCGCCGCAAGTCGAGAAAAACCATGAGACTTTCCCCTAGTGGCGAGATGAGGCCCGATTCTCCTGCAGTGCATGCAGAGCAATTCCATGATCCCCATCAAACAAGTCAGGACCTTCGACTTGCTTAATGGATCTCGAGACAGTCCCCAAGAATACTATCACATGTCTAGACCGATCCTGAGGTCACCCCATCAACGCAAAGCAGCACCATGTGCCCCACATCAACTCGAGATAATGCCCGATTCCCCTGCATTGACTCCAGAGCCATCCCCCGTTCCCCATTAAACACCACCAGTGGCTTGACTTCCTTCAGACAACTCCAGAGATGCCCTGAGAACACTGTCCCAAGTCTAGAGGAACACCGTCTTCAGCACAGCAACTCGAGGAATGCTCCGTGTACCCCAAATCGTCTCGAGATGAGAGCTGATTCCCTGGCTTATGCTCAAGACGTATGCCAACTTTCCAGAAGCACCTCAAGGGGAGGCTTCGCTCAGCAATAGTTATGTTGGAGGGACCCCCAGTTTGCTGCCTCAAGTGGAATATGCAACGAGAAGCCCTAACTTGAAAGGAGGCCGGGTTTCCTTGCAGTGTCTTGAATACAGGCTCGTCTTTCATCTCACAACCGGAAGGATTGTCTGAATCCCCTGTGGAGACCTTAGCGAAAGCCCTAGGTCCCTGCCTCATTTTGACGGATTGCCTCACATCCCGTTGACACCTCGGGAGGCACACGGAGCTCACTGCTTCAAATGTGACGATGCCTGACCCCTCCTGATCATTGATAGGAATCCCAAAATCACTGTGGCTACAGGAAAGGATTCTTGTGTGCCCTGCCTCACCTCGAGAAGCATCCCTTTGCCCTGCCAAGGCTCGAAGAGATTCCTGAGGTGTCCCTCATTACTAGACAGGAGTTATTACGTCACTGAATAAACACGTGTTTTCAAGGGCCATGCCCGCCATAACTCGAGAACATACCCCAGGTCCAGCCACAACTCGAGAATAAAGATGAGACTTCCCCTAGATGCGAGATGAGGCCTGATTCCCTGCAGTCCATGCAGAGCATTCCCGTGATCCCAATCAAGCAAGTCAGCAGCTTCGAATTTCTTAATGGATATCGAGAGAGTCCCCAGGAACACTGTCACAAGTCTAGACAGACCCTGACATCACCCCAGCAACGCAAAGCAGCTCCAAGTACCCCACATCAACTCGCGTTGAGGCCCGATTCCCATGCATTGACTCCAGAGCCATACCCCGTACCCCATTAAACACCACCAGTGGCTTGACTTCCTTCAGGCAACTCGAGAGATGCCCCGAGAACACTGTCCCAAGTCTAGAGGAATACGAACTTCAGCACAGCAACTCGAGGAATGCTCCGTGTACCCCAAATCGTTTCGAGGTGAGAGCTGATTCCATGGCTTAGGCTCAAGACGTATGCCAACTTTCCAGAAGCACCTCAAGAGGAGGCTTCTCTCAGCAATAGGTATTTGGGAAGGACCCCGAGTTTGCTGCCTCAAGTGGAATATACAGCGAGAAGCCCTAACTTGAAAGGAGGCCGGATTTCCTTGCAGTGGCTTGGATACAGGCTCTTCTTTCATCTCACAGCATGAAGGGATGTCTGAATCCCCTGTGGAGACCTTAGAGAAAGCTCTAGGTCCCTGCATCATTTTGACGGAATGCCTCACATCCAGTTGACACTTCGAGAGGCACGCGGAGTTCACTGCTTCAAAAGGTGATGATGCCTGACTCGTCTTGAATATTGATAGGAATCCCAAAATCACTGTGGCTACTGGAAAGGGACATTGGTTGCCCTGCCTCACCTTGAGAAGCATACCTTTTGACCTGCCAAGCCTCGAAGAGATTCCTGAGTTGTCCCTCGTTACTAGACAGGAGTCCTGACGGCACTGAATAAACACGGGTTTTGAGGGGCCATCCCCGCCGTAACTCGAGAAGATACCCCAGGTCCCCCGCGCAACTTGAGAGAAACCGTGAGACTTCCCCCTAGATGCGAGATGAGTCCTGATTCCCTGCAGTGCATGCAGAGTATTCCCGTGATCCCCATCAAACAAGTCAGGAGCTTCGACTTGCTTAATGGATCTCGAGACAGTCCCCAAGAACACTGTCACAAGTCTAGACGGACCCTGAGGTCACCACAGCAACGCAAAGCAGCTCCATGTGCCCCAAATCAACCCGAGATGTGGCCCGATTCCCCTGAATTGACTCCAGAGCCATCCCCGGTTCCCCATTAAACAAGACAACTGGTTAGACTTCCTTCAGGCAACTCCAGAGATGCCCCGCAAACACTCTCCCAAGACTAGAGGAACACCAACTTCAGCACAGCAACTCGAGGAATGCTCCGTGTACCACAAATCGTCTCGAGATGAGAGCTGAATCCCTGGCTTAGGCTCAAGACGTATGCCAACTTTCCAGAAGCACCTCAAGAGGAGGATTCTCTCAGCAATAGATATGTTGGAGGGACCCCGAGTTTGCTGCCTCAAGTGGAATATACAGCGAGAAGCCCTAACTTGAAAGGAGGCCGGATTTCCTTGCAGTGGCTTGAATACAGGCTCGTCTTTCATCTCACAGAATGAAGGGATGTCTGAATCCCCTGTGGAGACCTTAGAGAAAGCTATAGGTCCCTGCCACATTTTGACGGAATGCCTCACATCCGGTTGACACCTCGAGAGTCACGCGGAGTTCACTGCTTCAAAAGCTGACGATGCCTGACTCCTCTAAAATATTGATAGGAATCACAAAATCCCTGTGGCTATTTGAAAGGTTCCTTGGGTGCCCTGCCTCACCTCGAGAAGCGTCCCTTGTGCCTGCCAAGCCTCGAAGAGATTCCTGAGCTGTCCCTCGTTACTGGACAGGAGTCCTGACGTCACTGAATAAACACGAGTTTTTAAGGGCCATCCCCGCCGTAAACCGAGTACATACCCCAGGTCCCCGTCGTAAGTCGAAAAAAACCATGAGACTTTCCCCTCGTGGCGAGATGAGGCCCGATTCTCCTGCAGTGCATGCAGAGCAATTCCGTGATCCCCATCAAACAAGTCAGGACCTTCGACTTGCTTAATGGATCTCGAGACAGTCCCTAAAAAAACTGTCACATGTCTAGACGGAGCCTGCGGTCACCCCATCAACGCAAAGCAGCACCATGTGCCCCACATCAACTAGAGATAATGCCCGAATCCCCTGCATTGACTCCAGAGCCATCCCACGTTCCACATTAAACACCACCAGTGGCTTGACTTCCTTCAGACAACTCCAGAGATGCCCTGAGAACACTGTCCCAAGTCTAGAGGAACACCATCTTCAGCACAGCAACTCGAGGAATGCTCCGTGTACCCCAAATCGTCTTGAGATGAGAGCTGATTCCCTGGCTTAGGCTCAAGACGTATGCCAACTTTCCAGAAGCACCTCAAGGGGAGGCTTCTCTCAGCAATAGTTATGTTGGAGGGACCCCCAGTTTGCTGCCTCAAGTGGAATATGCAACTAGAAGCCCTAACTTGAAAGGAGGCCGGGTTTCCTTGCAGTGTCTTGAATACAGGCTCGTCTTTCATCTCACAACCGGAAGGAATGTCTGAATCCCCTGTGGAGACCTTAGCGAAAGCCCTAGGTCCCTGCCTCATTTTGACGGATTGCCTCACATCCCCTTGACACCTCGGGAGGCACACGGAGTTCACTGCTTCAAATGTGACGATGCCTGACTCCTCCTGAACATTGATAGGAATCCCAAAATCACTGTGGCTACAGGAAAGGGTTCTTGTGTGCCCTGCCTCACCTCGAGAAGCATCCCTTTTGCCCTGCCAAGGCTCGAAGAGATTCCTGAGGTGTCCCTCATTACTAGACAGGAGTCATGACGTCACTGACTAAACACGTGTTTTCAAGGGCCATGCCCGCCATAACTCGAGAACATACCCCAGGTCCCGACGCAACTCGAGAAAAACGATGAGACTTCCCCTAGATGCGATATGAGGCTTGATTCCCTGCAGTACATGCAGAGCATTCCCGTGATCCCAATCAAGCAAGTCAGCAGCTTCAAATTGCTTAATGGATCTCGAGAGAGTCCCCAGGAACACTGTCACAAGTCTAGACAGACCGTGACATCACCCCAGCAACGCAAAGCAGCTCCAAGTACCCCACATCAACTCGAGTTGAGGCCCGATTCCCATGCATTGACTCCAGAGCTATCCCCCATACCCAATTAAAGCACAACCAGTGGATTGATTTCCTTCAGGCAACTCCAGAGATGCCCCGAGAACACTCTCCGAAGTCTAGAGGAATACGAACTTCAGCAAAGCAACTCGAGGAATGCTCCGTGTACCCCAAATCGTTTCGAGGTGAGAGCTGATTCCATGGCTAGGCTCAAGACGTATGCCAACTTTCCAGAAGCCCCTCAAGAGGAGGCTTCTCTCAGCAATAGGTGTGTGGGAGGGACCCCGAGTTTGCTGCCTCAAGTGGAATATACAGCGAGAAGCCCTAACTTGAAAGGAGGCCGGATTTCCTTGCAGTGGCTTGAATACAGGCACGTCTTTCATCTCACAGCATGAAGGGATGTCTGAATCCCCTGTGGAGACCTTACAGAAAGCTCTAGGTACCTGCCTCATTTTGACGGAATGCCTCACATGCCATTGACACTTCGAGAGGCACGCAGAGTTCACTGCTTCAAAAGGTGATGATGCCTCACTCGTCTTGAATATTGATAGGAATCCCAAAATCACTGTGGCTCCTGGAAAGGGTCCTTGAGTGTCCTGCGTCACCTCGAGAAGCATACCTTTTGACCTGCCAAGCCTCGAAGAGATTCCTGAGGTGTCCCTCGTTACTAGACAGGAGTCCTGACAGCACTGAATAAACACGTGTTTTGAAGGGCCATCCCCGCCGTAACTCGAGAAGATACCCCAGGTCCCCCGCGCAACTTGAGAGAAACCATGAGACTTCCCCCTAGATGCGAGATGAGTCCTGATTCCCTGCAGTGCATGCAGAGTATTCCCGTGATCCCCATAAAACAAGTCAGGAGCTTCGAATTGCTTAATGGATCTCGAGACAGTCCCCAAGAACACTGTCACAAGTCTAGACGGACCCTGAGGTCACCCCAGCAACGCAAAGCAGCTCCATGTGCCCCAAATCAACCCGAGATGTGGCCCGATTCCCCTGCATTGACTCCAGAGCCATCCCCAGTTCCCCATTAAACAAGACAACTGGCAAGACTTCCTTCATGCAACTCCAGAGATGCCCAGCAAACACTCTCCCAAGACTAGAGGAATACCAACTTCAGCACAGCAACTCGAGGAATGCTCCGTGTACCACAAATCGTCTCGAGATGAGAGCTGAATCCCTGGCTTAGGCTCAAGACGTATGCCAACTTTCCAGAAGCACCTCAAGAGGAGGATTCTCTCAGCAATAGGTATGTTGGAGGGACCCCGAGTTTGCTGCCTCAAGTGGAATATACAGCGAGAAGCCCTAACTTGAAAGGAGGCCGGCTTTCCTTGCAGTGGCTTGAATACAGGCTCGTCTTTCATCTCACAGAATGAAGGGATGTCTGAATCCCCTGTGGAGGCCTTAGAGAAAGCTATAGGTCCCTACCTCATTTTGACGGAATGCCTCACAACCCGTTGTCACCTCCAGAGGCACGCGGAGTTCACTGCTTCAAAAGGTGACGATGCCTGACTCCTCTAAAATATTTATAGGAATCCCAAAATCCCTGTGGCTATTGGAAACGTTCCTTGGGTGCCCTGCCTCAAGTGGAGAAGCGTCCCTTGTGCCCTGCCAAGCCTCGATGAGATTCCTGAGCTGTCTCTCGTTACTGGACAGGAGTTCTGACGTCACTGAATAAACACGAGTTTTGAAGGCCATCCCCGCCGTAACCCGAGTACATACCCCAGGTCCCCGCCGCAAGTCGAGAAAAACCATGAGACTTTCCCCTAGAGGCGAGATGAGGCCCGATTCTCCTGCAGTGCATGCAGAGCAATTCCGTGATCCCCATCAAACAAGTCAGAAGCTTCGACTTGCTTAATGGATCTCGAGACAGTCCACAAGAACACTGTCACATGTCTAGACGGATCCTGAGGTCACCCCATCAAGGCAAAGCAGCACCATGTGCCCCAAATCAACTCGAGATAATGCCCGATTCCCCTGCATTGACTCCAGAGCCATCCCCCGTTCCACATTAAACACGACCAGTGGCTTGACTTCCTTCAGGCAACTCCAGAGACGCCCTGAGAACACTGTCCCAAGTCTAGAGGAACACCATCTTCAGCACAGCAACTCGAGGAATGCTCCGTGTACCCCAAATCGTCTCGAGATGAGAGCTGATTCCCTGGCTTAGGCTCAAGACGTATGCCAACTTTCCAGAAGCACCTCAAGGGGAGCCTTCTCTCAGCAATAGGTATGTTGGAGGGACCCCCAGTTTGCTGCCTCAAAAGGAATATACAGCGAGAAGCCCTAACTTGAAAGGAGGCCGGATTTCCTTGCAGTGTCTTGAATACAGGCTCGTCTTTCATCTCACAACCGGAAGGAATGTCTGAATCCTCTGTGGAGACCTTAGAGAAAGCGCTAGTTCCCTGCCTCATTTTGAAGGAATGTCTCACATCCCGTTGACACCTCGAGAGGCACACAGAGTTCACTGCTTCAAAATGTGATGATGCCTGACCCTTCTTGAACATTGATAGGAATCCCAAAATCACTTTAGCTACAGGACAGGGTTCTTGGGTGCCCTGCCTCACGTCGAGAAGCATCCCTTTGCCTGCCAAGCCTCGAAGAGATTACTGAGGTGTCTCTCGTTACTAGACAGGAGTCCTGACGTCACTGAATAAACACCTTTTTTGAAGGGCCATCCCCGCCGTAACTCGAGAATATACCCCAGGACCCGCCGCAACTCGAGTAAAACCATGAGACTTCCCCTAGATGCGAGATGAGGCCTGATTCCCTGCAGTCCATGCAGAGCATTCCCATGATCCCCATCAAGCAAGTCAGGAGCTTCGACTTGCTTAATCGAACTCGAGAAAGTCCCTAGGAACACTGTCACAAGTCTAGACAGACCCTGAGGTCACCCCAGCAATGTAAAGCAGCTCCAAGTAACCCACATCAACCCGCGATGAGGCCCGATTCCCCTGCATTGATTCCAGAGCCATCCCCCGTACCACATTAAACACCAAAAGTGGTTTGACTTCCTTCAGGCAACTCCAGAGATGCCCTGAGAACACTGTCCCAAGTCTAGAGGAATACGAACTTCAGCACAGCAACTCGAAGAATGCTCCGTGTACCCCAAATCGTTTCGAGGTGAGAGCTGCTTCCATGGCTTAGGCTCAAGACGTATGCCAACTTTTCAGAAGCACCTCAAGAGGAGGCTTCTCTCAGCAGTAGGTATGTGGGAGGGACCCCGAGTTTGCTGCCTCAAGTGGAATATACACGAGAAGCCCTAACTTGAAAGGAGGACGGATTTCCTTGCAGTGGCTTGAATACAGGCTCGTCTTTCATCTCACAGCATGAAGGGATGTCTGAAGCCCCTGTGGAGACCTTAGAGAAAGCTCTAGGTCCCTGCCTCATTTTGAGGGAATGCCTCACATCCCGTTGTCACCTCGAGAGGCACGCGGAGTTCAGTGCTTCAAAATGTGACGATGCCTGACTCCTCTTGAATATTGATAGGAATCCCAAAATCCATGTGGCTATTGGAAAGGTTCCTTGGGTGCCCTGCCTCACCTCGAGAAGCGTCCCTTGTGCACTGCCAAGCCTCGAAGAGATTCCTGAGCTGCCCCTCGTTACTGGACAGGAGTCCTGACGTCACTGAATAAACACGAGTTTTGAAGGCCATCCCCGTCGTAACCCGAGTACATACCCCAGGTCCCCGTCGCAAGTCGAGAAAAACCATGAGATTTTCCCCTATAGGCGAGATGAGGCCCGATTCTCCTGCAGAGCATGCAGAGCAATTCCGTGATCCCCATCAAACAAGTCAGGACCTTCGACTTGCTTAATGGGTCTCGAGACAGTCCACAAGAATACTGTCACATGTCTAGACGGATCCTGAAGTCACCCCATCAACGCAAAGCAGCACAATGTGCCCCAAATCAACTCGGGATAATGGCAGATTCCCCTGCATTGACCCTAGAGCTATCCCCCGTTCCACATTAAACACGACCAGTGGCCTGACTTCCTTCAGGCAACTCCAGAGATGCCCGGAGAACACTGTCCCAAGTCTAGAGGAACACCAACTTCAGCACAGCAACTCGAGGAATGCGCCGTGTACCCCAAATCGTCTCGAGATGAGAGCTGATTCCCTGGCTTAGGTTCACGACGTATGCCAATTTCCAGAAGCACCTCAAGCGGAGGATTCTCTCAGCAATAGGTATGTTGGAGGGACCTCCACTTTGCTGCCTCAAGTGGAATATACAGCGAGAAGCCCTACCTTGAAAGGAGGCCGGATTTACTTGCAGTGTCTTGAATACAGGCTCGTCTTTCATCTCACAACAGGAAGGGATGTCTGAATCCCCTGTGGAGACCTTAGAGAAAGCCCTAGGTCCCTGCCTCATTTTGACGGAATGCCTCACTTCCCGTTGACACCTCGAGAGGCACACGGAGTTCACTGCTTCAAAATGTGACGATGCCTGTCTCCTCCTGAACATTGATAGGAATCCCAAAATCACTGTGGCTACAGGAAAGGGTTCTTGTGTGCCCTGCCTCACCTCGAGAAGCATCCCTTTTGCCCTGCCAAGCCTCGAAGAGATTCCTGATGTGTCCCTCGTTACTAGACAGGAGAACTGACGTCACTGAATAAACACGTGTTTTGAAGGGCCATCCCGGCAATAACTCAAGAAAATATCCCAGGTCCCGCCGCAACTCGAGAAAAACCATGAGACTTCCCCTAGACGCGAGATGACGTCTGATTCCCTGCAGTCCATGCAGAGCAGTCCCGTGATCCCCATCAAGCAAGTCAGGAGCTTCGACTTGCTTAATGGATCTCCAGAGAGTCCCCAGGAACACTGTCACAAGTCTAGACAGACCCTGAGGTCACCCCAGCAATGCAAAGCAGCTCCAAGTGCCCCACATCAACTCGAGATGAGGCCCGATTCTCCGGTATTGACTCAAGAGCCATCCCCCGTACCCCATTAAACACCAACACTGGCTTGACTTCATTCATTCAACTCCAGAGATGCCCCAAGAACACTGTTCCAAGTCTAGAGGAACACCAACTTCAGCACAGCAATTCGAGGAATGCTCCGTGCACCCCAAATCGTTCCGAGGTGAGAGCTGATACCCTGGCTTAGGCTCAAGACGTATAACAACTTTCCAGAAGCACCTCAAGAGCAGGCTTCTCTCAGCAATCGGTATGTGGGAGGGAACCCGAGTTTGCTGCCTCAAGTGGAATATACAGTGAGAAGCCCTAACTTGAAAGGAGGCCGGATTTCCTGGCAGTGTGTTGAATACAGGCTCGTCTTTCATCTCACAGCATGAAGGGGTGTCTGAATCCCCTGTGAAGACCTTTGAGAAAGCCCTAGGTCCCTGCCTCATTGTGACGGAATGCCTCACATCCCGTTGACACCACAAGAGGCACCCGGAGTTCACTGCCTCAAAAGGTGACGATGCCTGACTCCTCTTGAATATTGATAGGAATCCCAAAATCCCTGTGGCTATTGGAAAGGTTCCTTGGGTGCCCTGCCTCATCTCGAGAAGCGTCCCTTGTGCCCCGGCAAGCCTCGAAGAGATTCCTGAGCTGTCCCTCGTTACTGGACAGGAGTCCTGACGTCACTGAATAAACACGTGTTTTGAAGGGCCATCGCCGCCGTAACTCGAGTACATACCCCAGGTCCCCGCCGCAACTCGAGAAAAATCATGAGACTTCCGCCTAGAGGCGAGATGAGGCCCGATTCTCCTGCAGTGCATGCAGAGCAATTCCGTGATCCCCATCAAACAAGTCAGGAGATTCGACTTGATTAATGAATCTCGAGACATTCCCCAAGAACACTGTCACATGTCTAGACTGACCCTGAGGTATCCCCAGCAACGCAAAGCAGCTCCATGTGCCCCAAATCAACTTGAGATGAGGTCCGATTCCCCTGCATTGACTCCAGAGCCATCTGCCATTCCGCATTAAACACCACCAGTGGCTTGACTTCCTTCAGACAACTCCAGAGATGCCCTGAGAACACTGTCCCAAGTCTAGAGGAACACCGTCTTCAGCACAGCAACTCGAGGAATGCTCCGTGTACCCCAAATCGTCTCGAGATGAGAGCTGATTCCCTGGCTTATGCTAAAGACGTATGCCAACTTTCCAGAAGCACCTCAAGGGGAGGCTTCGCTCAGCAATAGTTATGTTGGAGGGACCCCCAGTTTGCTGCCTCAAGTGGAATATGCAACGAGAAGCCCTAACTTGAAAGGAGGCCGGGTTTCCTTGCAGTGTCTTGAATACAGGCTCGTCTTTCATCTCACAACCGGAAGGATTGTCTGAATCCCCTGTGGAGACCTTAGCGAAAGCCCTAGGTCCCTGCCTCATTTTGACGGATTGCCTCACATCCCGTTGACACCTCGGGAGGCACACGGAGCTCACTGCTTCAAATGTGACGATGCCTGACCCCTCCTGATCATTGATAGGAATCCCAAAATCACTGTGGCTACAGGAAAGGATTCTTGTGTGCCCTGCCTCACCTCGAGAAGCATCCCTTTGCCCTGCCAAGGCTCGAAGAGATTCCTGAGGTGTCCCTCATTACTACACAGGAGTCATTACGTCACTGAATAAACACGTGTTTTCAAGGGCCATGCCCGCCATAACTCGAGAACATACCCCAGGTCCAGCCACAACTCGAGAATAAAGATGAGACTTCCCCTAGATGCGAGATGAGGCCTGATTCCCTGCAGTCCATGCAGAGCATTCCCGTGATCCCAATCAAGCAAGTCACCAGCTTCGAATTTCTTAATGGATATCGAGAGAGTCCCCAGGAACACTGTCACAAGTCTAGACAGACCCTGACATCACCCCAGCAACGCAAAGCAGCTCCAAGTACCCCACATCAACTCGCGTTGAGGCCCGATTCCCATGCATTGACTCCAGAGCCATACCCCGTACCCCATTAAACACCACCAGTGGCTTGACTTCCTTCAGGCAACTCGAGAGATGCCCCGAGAACACTGTCCCAAGTCTAGAGGAATACGAACTTCAGCACAGCAACTCGAGGAATGCTCCGTGTACCCCAAATAGTTTCGAGGTTAGAGCTGATTCCATGGCTTAGGCTCAAGACGTATGCCAACTTTCCAGAAGCACCTCAAGAGGAGGCTTCTCTCAGCAATAGGTATTTGGGAAGGACCCCGAGTTTGCTGCCTCAAGTGGAATATACAGCGAGAAGCCCTAACTTGAAAGGAGGCCGGATTTCCTTGCAGTGGCTTGGATACAGGCTC